CCAAGAACGTATGTCCGCTTCCGTCAGTCTGACATAAACACAAGTGTCATAATATATTGTCAAAAGACGATATCAGGAAAGCAGTTCGTAAGAAAAGCTAACCTCTTAGGAGCAGCAAAATCATCCCTTGCAATAGGAGCATCCCTAATACCACATCGCTGCACCTTCAGATGATTAAGCTTGGATCCAAGGGAAATGAGCTCACCGACAAGAATTTCACAACCATTAGAACGCAATTACTCATAACAAGCTATCCTAGCCTCGGTATCGATAATTTCAAGCTCGAGTTTGTGAATCTCCTCCCCTTGAGCCATAAAAGCCTTTATCCGGTTAATACAAGTATGATACCAATCGCAAGAACGCCTAGTCTCGGTATCGACAATCTCAAGCTCGAGTTTGTGAATCTCCTCCCCTTGAGCCATAAAAGCCTTTATTCGGTTAATACAGAGATGATACCAATCGTAAAAGTGTCGATGCATTAGGTTGGCCATTTGCTTAATGGATCTCTGCTGTAATTCCCGAGCTTCCTCGTCTGCAGAAGCCATCTTCTTGCTCTCCTCAGCTGCCTTGTTCTCCAGATTTTCTATGTGCAGCTGTTTCTCTTTGGAGGATTCAACTTTAAGCCTTTGGCATTTAAGCTCTAAGTAAAGCTTCTCATGCTCAATCTCTTTAATCTTTGCCATCGCGCAGCGAAGCTCTCGATCCTTGGCCATCAACTCCTCGGCTTTAATTTCTCCTCGCACAGAATCTTGATCGTATGAGTCTCTAAGAGATGCGCATAATCCCAGGCCCTGCATAAAACACTGAGACATTCCCGAGAAATCCTCAAACCGCTTCAGTTTCTCAATGGACATTCCATTTTTTGGCTTCGCTCTACACTGCCAGACCAGATTTGGAGTAAAATATTCATCAAGCATCGCCGGGGAATTTCCGTTCCAACGCAATAAGAATTGATAAGGATTGAAACTCGAATCTTCATCGGCCCTTTGATTCTCTGGATCTTTTGACGAACTATTCGCAGAAGCTGGCGAATTAGTTTCCTGGCCCTCTACCTCCGTAAAAGTGGGATATTGTTCCTTGATTTCCGCAGTGTCCGTTGGATTCTCGATCAAAATCTTTGGAGGAGGAGGACCGGAAGATTGCACATCAGTAACATCAACGGTATGATTGGCTAACAGAGCATTCTCAATAGGCGACTGATCTCTTGGCGGAGTCGCAATCCGGGGCTTCTTAGCCGGAGAACATACTGGGATATCAACTTCAACCAGAGGAATCTTATTTCTTTTCCTTAATCTCATCCTCGCCAAGAGAAATTCAAGAGCAAACACGAAAAATGTGGTGTACCAAACACGAAAAATGCTTGGGAATTGAAGAATCTTTCTAAACAAGACAAAAATCAAAGTTAGAAAATAGAAACACAACAGGTGCTTTAATCAAAACTCTGATTCCCGTATCGAAGACCTTTCACCTTTTCCGCTTGGAGTGAAACCCTAAAAGCATGATGGGCCGCGCATTAATACCCATTATCAATGAAAGTGCCACATGTCAAATCTACTTAAGGACGGGCCGAGCTGGTCATTGTGAAGGAATGCTCTTGACGAACCAAAGCTTATTGCGAGATCAAACCAATTCGCTTCATGAAGTCTGCCGAGCTATTTTGCAAATCATTTTGACGAACTGGGGGGGGGACTTATTGTTAGAGGGGAAATGAGCACATTGCCTAAAAGGCTCTCTCTAGCAATAACCTAAGCTCATCAAAATCTAGAAAGATGCACCGACCTAATCAAATAAGGAAAACTGCTTAAAAATGTCCATTGATCCCCATAATATCGGATTAACTCGGAAGAATATTCAAGGATAAAGGAGAATTTCCCTATCTCTCGGAGAATAAAGGATATTTTCATATCGTGAATATGGAAATAATCATGCAAGAAGAAAAGGAAAAGGAGCTTGCGTCAACCGGCCTCCTATTTCCTATAAATAAGAAGACCTCGAGTAGCTTCAAGCCAACTCATACATTGTAGCAAGCAGCAAAGCAATACCTAAAAAACTCTAAGCTTTCTAGTCTATAACTTTAATACTTTATTTCACTTCGGCATAATCTCTCGGTTAAGCTACCCTCTGTAATCGCTTCGCTTTTGAACTATTAATAAATATCTTATTCTCTAAAACCCACAACTGTTAATCACTTAAATCTAGTGGTGATTTTCTGGTTCAATAAAACTCTTACCCAATGGTTCCAAAGTCGTGGCTAAATCTCTTTCGTTCTAAAAGTTTTATTTTTCAGAAATAGTTGCACTTGATGTAAAACAGATGTTTTTTAAGCTGAATATAAATTTAACATTCTATTCAAAAAAAATAATTAAAATATCGTTAGAAAATCATTCGAACAGCACCATCATTCATCTCTACGCTCTAGCTAGTTCTCTTCAAAGAAAACGTAGTAAAACTATTACATTTTTTTCTCTACGCAGCTTCTGAGGAAAACCTAAATCGCGAATCTTCTCACTTTCATGGTGGATCTACTGTGAATCTCCGAGTGCCACTTCAAACTAATTTCAGATCTGGATTATCGCTGATATCCGAACATTTTAAGAAATATTTAGACAATGATATCCGAAAATCACAACTCCGAATCTTCATCTAATGAATCCATTCCATAAAATTGTTTGCTTATTTTGCATAGCGTAATTAGGGTTTCTTATTTGCTAGCTTAATTTCTCTAGTTTAAGTGTGGCCAAACACTTTTTTTTATCACCAACATGCAGTGATTTTGAGCCAATTTGTTTTGTATAAGTAAAAAGCGGTTGATTTAACCAAAAGGTGATGGTCTAGTACCAAAACCAAATTTAGTATAAAAATCTATATCTAAGATATATAACTAAATGTGTCTCCAAGCTAATAAATGTGTCCCCAAGTTTTCAAGCTAACAAATGTGTCGACAAATTTATTAGGGGTTATTGGTTTTTGTATTTTGGTGGATTTATAAATCTTTTTTGGATTTGATAAATTTATTGATTTCAAAATCAGCAAAATGTAAAAAAAATCAAATCCACTCAAATACCAAAGTTAGACCTTGTATTTAGGAGGTGTTATTGGTTCTTGTATTTCAATGGATTTGAGAATCCAAACCAAATTCAGTGTTATTGGTTCTTGTATTTTAAAATTTATATTGAAATACAGTGTTATTGGTTCTATGATTTTAAAATCCATAATGAAATACAGTGTTATTGGTTCTATCATTTTAGAATCTAAATATTATAAGGATTTGAGTTTTAATTGAATTTGAATGGATTTGGAAGGATTTTTATGACTAAAATACAAAGACCCAAATACAAGGTCTAACCTTGGTATTTGAGTGGATTTGATTTTTTTCCATTTTGCTGATTTTGAAATCAATAAATTTATCAAATCCAAAGAAGATTTATAAATCCACCAAAATATAAGAACCAATAACCCCTACTTAAATTCAATTTATTGATAAGTCTTTGTATTTTAGTCATAAAAATCCTTCCAAATCCATTCAAATTCAATTAAAACTCAAATCCTTATAATATTTAGATTCTAAAATGATAGAACCAATAACATTGTATTTCATTATGAATTTTAAAATCATAGAACCAATAACACTGTATTTTAATATAGATTTTAAAATACAAGAACCAATAACACTGAATTTGGTTTGGATTCTCAAATCCATTAAAATACAAGAACCAATAACATCTCCTTAGTATTAAAATCTATATTCATTATATACCGGTATTCATCTATATTTTAGCATTGAAAAGTCAAGATTATATATATATATATATATATATATGAATTTCGTAATTTTAAGGTTATGGAAAATTCAGTAGACATTTGTTTTTATCCTTTAAGGTTATGCAAATTCTCTTAAACTTGTATTCTGTGTCTCATGCATTCAATAATAAGGAATGCCGTTTTCTCTAAGTTTCTTTTTCTAATTGGTTGGATTTAAATTTGTTTTCCGTTGATATTTCATTCTATTTGACTTTTCAGTAACAACAGATTGTAACTTGGCATAAGATTAGATTTTCCGGTGGGTATTAGATCTGTATTCACATGCATTATGAAAACGATAACTAGATGGTCGTTGCTGAAAATATTATTCAACGTTATTATGTTAGTCACTGTCAGATAAGTTGTTTTCGAAAACCGTTACAGTTAAAAATCCCTAACAGTTTAAAAATTTGCATGTAATATTAGAAATCCTCTTTATATAAATGAGAGACGAGAGAACAATTAGAAACTGTTTTTCGCCTATACTTGTTATAAAGATACATTACTACAAAGATTATCAAGTTTATTAAGATTTCATTGCTTTCCAATATTTAGAAGACGTGATTTGGTTATAGGTATATACAGCTTAGTTAACCTTACAACACAATTTTGAAAGAACATGGGATTTTACTGACAAACAAATACAGTATTTTGTTCATAGGGAAATTCAGAAAGCTCTTAATTTACATTAAATAATTGGTTGGTGTACGTACGTGAATATACTTACATCTTTTTGGGACCGATCTTGTGCGTAGCAATCACATCGCGACATGTCAGAATATGATACACTGTTAGAATCATACAAGAAGAGAGCTATAGAAGATTATTCTATATTTTTTGTATGTTTTGAAATAAATAGACGAGTATACGTATACAAACATACTTTCTAAGTGTCCTATAATTTTTTTTCTTTATGTCGTCGTGGAACCACGGGTCCTTTTAAGTTTTAACACATTTGGGGTAAGTCACAGCGGAGAGACCAACCACTAGTCTATTTTGTTTCAGTTGTGCATGTCCTAATGTGGAGATACACATATCTCAATATATATATTTTTTTCCGCACGATATATTTAAATGATTGTTTTTAGAGAGAGAGAGAGAGAGAGAGACGTGGGGAGTAGGATGGAATTATTTAGAATTGACTCACTATAATAACATCGTGATGGGTAATACATCGTTGGATCTCCGTTAAAATACTATTTTTCTCAAACCAGGAGAGGAGTAGACATTTCGTGTGAAAGAGACGATGTCATTCAAACTATTTTTCTCAAACCACGTTATTCACACATTGTTATATTTTAACTCATTATTCATGCTCTCTTCCTCTATATAAACACACCCAAATTAGTGGGGAATACATTAACACACATATTCTACAATACCATATTGATAATAAAAAAAAAAAAAGAGAAAGAGAGATAGATAAAATGATGTCCCCTTACGGTTCTTCTTACGATGATATCCACGCTTTGGCCAATGAGATCAAAAGAGAGGTTCGATTGTCCCACATTAATTTTGATCCTTACTCATTTGTCTCTCCTTCTGCTTACGACACGGCTTGGTTAGCCATGATCGAAGAAGACCACTACGTAGGTGATGATGAGCTTAAACCTATGTTCCAAGATTGCCTAGATTGGATTATGTGTAATCAAAATGCCGGAGAAGGTTTCTGGGGGAACTCCGGCGGTTATACTCCGGTGGCTGGCGCCGGAGGCGAAGACGAAGAAGACATGTACGCTCTAACTTCCACTCTAGCTTGCGTTGTTGCACTTCACAAATGGAACATTGGGTGTCTTCATCTCCACAAAGGTGCGTTGACTTTGATTTTGCATTATTGTTGGTTTTTGAGAAAACACTCCGTACAAGTAAAACGCAACTCGTTACGTGCTCATCACATGCATGGCCTACTGCGTACGCTTAATCACGTGGGTATACTTATTCATATAACATACAATTATGTTTTATGTTTTACGTCCTATCTATCACACATGTTTTTGGCCTGTTTCAAAAATATAAAAAATAAGAGACTTTTCGGTATGTTTTTCGCTAATTTGATCATAAAAAACATTTCATAGCATCAACAATATTGTTGATTTTTTGGATTCGCATATGAACATAACACCTTTTTCTTTTTTCTAAATTGTATTATTAAAATAAAAATAAACATATATACACTTTTCATATAAATTTGTACTATTGATTTTTTTTTTTTTTGTAAACACCAATCACCAAAGATCAATATAAAAGGTTTATTCATTTTTACACTTAATTTTTTTTCTCGAATCTTAACAAAAAATCATATGAGCCTTTTACCACTGGTCGATCACCACCATTTGGTTTGTCATTTGTATCTTGTAAAAAAAAAAAGTTAATAACATTTTAAAAAAAAAATTAACTAGGGAAGAGATATATCGAAAGAAGAACGGAGATGATAATTGGAAACTACGACAACGAAGAGGGGTCCTATCCTCGTTGGTTTGTTATCAAATTCACAGGAATCCTCGACCTTGCTCAACAACTTGGCTTACACTTTGTCTTCTCTAGTCGCTGTATTGAAATGATCAAGGAGCTATTTTATCAACGCCAAGAGATTCTCAAAAGGTATCGTTACATTGAAAGAAATATTGATCAAATATTTTCCTCATTGACATATGTAAAAAACAATTGGCTTTCTTTGTTTTCCAGAGAAAAATTGGTGGATGATTGTAACCATAAACCTCTACTGGCATATCTAGAGGTGCTGCCATCGACAATAGTAGTCGAAAAAGAAATCATAATTAATAGCCTCGAGAACGTCCATGGCTCTTTATTTCAGTCGCCTTCGGCAACTGCATCAGCATTTATGCTCACACGCAACACAAAGTGTCTTGCTTATCTTCAAAATGTTGTTGAAAGATGCTCTAACGGAGGTAAATAGTTGCAATGAATAAATGTCGTTGAAAGATGCTCTAACACAAAGTGTCTTGCTTATCTTCTATGTATCCCAAAGCTATGGATAATTTGAATATGATTAGTAATTAATTGCATTTAAAATATTCCATAACAAGTAATGTATGATTTCTTGTGTCAGTGCCACAAAAGTACCCTCTTAATGAAGAACTTATAAAACTCTCCATGGTCAATGTAATCGAGAATATCGGTTTAGGAGAGTTCTTTGGTAGAGAAATTGAACATGTTCTTCAACATTACAGGTGAGGATAACTTTTAACCATCATTATTATATATATATATTATCTTTTTTTTTGAACATTTATATATATATATATTATCTTTGGATATATAAATAAAATGTAAGCATAACTTGACTTTTTTCTACGTGTAATTAAGTAGTTACGAGGAAGAAAATGTCAACAGAATGCCAATCAGTTACCTAGCAGATCAACTGCACAAAGACTCTCTTGCATTTCGGATGTTAAGAATGCGAGGTCACGCCGTTTCACCGAGTAAGAACTAACTATTATTTCGATTATAAGTATGAATCAAAGCAAAGGAAATTAATTATTTGTTCATGTCTTTATCGAGTTTAAAAGTCTTTGTTTAAATACTTTTCAGGAAGCTTTTGCTGGTTCTTGAATGATCAAGAAACTCGAAATCATTTAGAAAGAAATATAGACTCTTTCTTCCTCGTCATCCTTAGTGTATACAGAGCCACAGATCTCATGTTTCCAGGAGAGCATGAGCTTGAAGAAGCAAGACTATATACTCGTAGTTTACTCGAGCAAAGTCGGTCCATCGATGAAAGAATGGTATTAAGATTTTTTGATAAGTTGAAGTGTTTTAAGTGACTATAAATGCATGGCTTCGTGATAAATAAATAATGATTGATTTCTAGATTAAGCATGAATTAAGTACTCCATGGATAGCTCGACTCAAACACCTTGATCATAGGATGTGGATTGAGGACAAGAACTCAAATTTTCTCTCAATCGGAAAAGCTTCCTTTCTAAGGTATAATATAATACACAAGAAATTGATCTACCTATTTTGAGATCCTTTAAGAACAAGCTTATTCAAGTATTTTGTTTTTGTTTTTATGATTTATGAAATCAGACTACATAGTTCATATAGCGACAGACTGACTCATCTTGCTGCAAGAAACTTTGAGTTTCGACAAGCCATATATCGACGCGAGCTGGAGGAATTGACAACGTAAGTAGAATTTAATTTTCACTACATCGTAAATGTGAGAAAGAAAAACAGCATTTTGTTATAGAAAAATTGCGTTTTTGGTAGACAAACTCTAATCCATAAAGTGAATAATATATATAGGCTAACAATATCGAATTATGAAACAGGTGGGTGAAAAAGTTGGGACTTAATGATATTGGTTTTGGTAGAGAGAAGACAACATATTGTTACTTTGCAAGTGCGACTTCATTGCCCTTTGAATATGCTTCTAAATTTGGAAAGCTTACAGCGAAGACTGCCATCCTCATCACAGTTGCCGATGATTTGTTTGATGAAGAAGGTTCTCTGGATGATTTGAAAGTTCTTACTAGAGCCGTTATGAGGTACATTTGTTAAAAAAAAATCGGTTATGCTCGTGTAATTAGAGACAATCCTAGTAACTTAATTATGGATATATATAGTCTATAGATTTATATTATATTATTCTGTTAAATCTTGATTGAGTTATTGTTTTCATATGTATGATGATAGGTGGGAAGGAGAAGAGCTTAAAGGTTACGGCAATATCATCTTTAGAGCACTTGATGATATCGTAAGAGAGACTGCAGAGGCTTGCCGTAAGCAACACGGCACCGACATAACAGAGCAGCTTCGCAACATCGTATGTCACTATCTGGTCCATAACAAAAGATATCTTAAAAAACATGGAACATTTTGAAACCATTAAGGATCACTCATTAAAAATAACAAAAATTGTTTTTAATAAAAAAAGTTTTCTCAGACTTTAAAATTGGATAGGGTTAATTTGCAATCTAACCATATTTATGAAAAAATACAAGAATATAACCATGCTATTCAACTTACAAAAAAAAAAACATATTTTAACATATAAAGTATTCTGAAAATATTTCTAAATAATTATGCAGTGGGGTGAAACTTTTGAGTCATGGCTACGTGAAGCCGAATGGAGTAAGAAGGGAAATATGCCATCAATGGAGGAATATCTACGAAATGGAATGATCTCAATCGCAGCACACACCATTGCTCTCTCCATCTCATGTCTCATGGAACCTGGTTTTCCCAATCATAAACTTAACCGTGAAAAATATGATACGTTAACCACATTGCTCATGATCATACCTAGACTCTTAAATGATCTTCAAAGTTATCAGGTGATTCGAATTTTAGATTATTTTTTAAAGGTTTATATGTATTTAGCTTTAGAATATTTGTTTATATGTTTTTACTAGTCATTCAGGATATAAATAAATATCATTCATTGAGGTTTAGCTGAGCCACAAAAATTATAATCAATACTAATCCGGTAACTTGACAAATTATAAGGTGTATATAATAGATATAAAATTTTCTTTTGTTCTCATAACATACTTTTGTACTTATACGTTCAAATATGTCATGAAACGTTAACTCACAGAAGGAACAAGAACAAGGGAAGATCAACTCCGTGCTACTACACATGAAGAGTAATTCAGGTCTCCAGATTGAGGAATCGATCGCTCAAATCGAAAAGATAATCGATTCAAATAGGAAAGAGTTTCTGGAGCATGTACTAGTGGATGGACTAAGTGATTTACCCAAACCGTGGAAAGAGATTCACATGTCATGTTGCCAGGTCTTCGAGATGTTTTTCAACAAGAAGAACCGTTTTGATTCCGACACAGAACTGCTTCAAGACATTAAGAAGGCTCTCTACGTTCCCGTGAATGTTTATAAAAACTCAGAGACAGAGCCTATGCCACTGATGGGACGCGGTGATGAGATTATGATTCTTCCGATGCTTTTAAACCTTTCACCAAAGATTCTTGAATTTAAGGGGAAGGGTGAGTACGGGACAGTGAAAACATCTATGTGCTTGAGAAGAAGCTATCGTACTCATAGACGCGTTATTGCCAAAGAGCTTCATGATCAACGCAAGCCTCTCAAGATTGTTGCCTCGCAGAGGAAACCGGTACCTATGATACCGACGATATTCGCACCGTGCTTCTACTAATTAATCTCTTATCTTTCCATGTTATGTAAAGATTGGTGAATAATCTTTTCGTTTATAACATGTAAAATAGTGTTTCTCTTTATGTGCAAATTGTTAAGATATTAATGGTTTGTGAGTGTGAAACTTTTAGAAACTATGTTCTTCTCAAATCGATTTTTCCTAGCTATATAAATAAATAAAAAGTTAGAATATAAATAATTATATAAAAATGTGTGAATTTTTAAATCATTGTCAATTAGGTTTGAGTTGTAAGTGATATAAAATCTCGGTAGATCGGATGGGTTAATTCTTTTTTCTTTTCTTTTTTTCTTTTAGTTGGGTTTCAATGATTTGAAAACAAAACACATAATATAAGTATACATATGTGTATAAGTTCTTACAAAACTGTATTATTTATTAGCTTATAAAAATCTTTAAAATGATTTGTCTCTCTATGGTGACAAAGGAGGAAGAACTCCTTTGAGAAAGGCGGAGAAAAACGCAAGGGATTCACTAGGTTTGAAAGAAGGCACATCATGTCCTGCTCCTTTGAACGTTCCGAACGTTAAACCTTCATATTCTTGAAGCCATCCACTAACCTAATAATCATAAATAATAACAATATAATCACGCTTCGAAAGCAACTCTTATTATGTTATGAGATATCGATTAGTAGTTTTTTAAATGCTATCAGCTTGACCTGCTTCTCGTGGTACCATGGCCTCCAAGACGTCTTAATGGGCAGTTCCAATTTCTTTATGCAGTACCTTGTCCCGAGTACAGGAACTCTTCCGTCTGTATCGCCGCTGAGCCAAAGATAAAGGAGAAGAAAATAAAAAATCATAAGCAAATGATGATCGTTTATGTATTTAACCCAAAAAAATAAAATAGTGATCGTATATGTAAAAAATACGAAAAAATTTCTAATTAAAGACAAAGTTTAGAATATATGTGTTAGCCACATTCATCAAATTAAGTTAACTATCAAATTTTAAAACGGGAAACTCAGAAGGCTAAAGTTTACCTGTAAACCCATATTCTAAATCCTCCAGCGATTAATTTCTTATATATTGGCAAAACTGAGGGATTTGAATCAGCCCAATTATCAAAAATATCATCGCTGTTTAGCAAAAACAAAAAAAAAACAAAAAGAAGAGGTTATTCTAGATAAATGTAATATATATGAGCGGAAATTACATAAACAAGAATATTAGGTTTTTTTTTTTTTACTGCAAGAATATTAGTATATCAAAATAAAAAGAGTAGTAGTACTTGCAAATGCTCCAATTCTTGAGATGAACACCATCACTTGCATGAAGAGCTTTCTGAACATCTGCTCTGTTGTAGAACACTCTTGTGTAATCATCTAAACACGGGTCGTAATTTCCGTTCAAACTCGGCATCTATTGAGAGTTTTTAGGCAAGTTATAGTCGCAATTTGCAATGTGAGATATATCTCTATACAAAGTAGATGAGTGTTAAATAGTTAATTACCTCTTTGGAATTGGCGAGATAAGTCTTGAATCGCGTCAAACCAACGGAGGAGTTAAGCGTTGAATTGCCAATACAGGTAGGAGTATAGAGACTGTACTGATCAATTTTGTGATATTGCTTGACTATTTCGTCGACGCTGTCTTTGCATTCTTTAATATCCCAAGTAATGCTGCTACTGAAATTGCAACTTTTTTTAATGACTCCATACGTCTCGTCTGATATTACTGCATGGCTCCATGCGTAATCCACATATCCGTCCCATTCTTCAGCATCCGACGTTTCAGGATTTCCAAGCTAGCAACCATGGTTTACAGAATTATATATCATAAATATTGTAATAAATATATATTCATTAAATTAATATTTAATAAATTAATAAATTCGAAAAATCAATGATTTTGCTTAGGCCCAAAATATATAATCGATAATTATTGAAATCTATAATATAATAACTCTATAAATTAATAAAATATCAAAATCTCAATATTACTAATTAATAGAGTTTTTACTGTATGATTATATTTGTTTAGCATAATGAAAATACTAAAGATATCTAAAGCTTACAATTATCAGTTATATATATATTAGTTATTATCAATCAGTTTGGAGTTAAAAGTTTATGAAACTTAAGATACTATCACAGCTCAAACACACCGGCACAACCCTAACCCAAAAACCATTCCAATCCAAAAGTTGGTATGATATATCAAGAATCGATCCACTCCGGAAATAATATTTCTATAGTGAGATTCTATCGAGATGAATTACTAGATGAATCAGGATTCAAAACTCAGAAGTACCAAAAATACCCAAAGCTCCAAAATGAAAACTGAACAATGCATGATGTAAATTTGTTCAGTATTAAAGTATTGAAATGTCCTTATTAATCAAGCAAGGTACAATGTTTTTGTATATGTAGTATTAAATACAAACATACCAAGATGCCCTTAAGCTTGATGGGCAGTGACGAGTTATCATTGTTCTTGTCATAAACGATCTCTGCAAGCTCTGGTATGTACTTTCCTGCATGCGTTTGTTTATAAATCATCGCATGAATCAAAACCATAGAAAATGATATAATGGGTTCTGGTACTAAGTTCAAACCTGCATAGCTCTCTCCTGCTATGTAGAAATCGTTCTCTCTGTAAGCTGGGAATCTTTCTAACCACTTTTGGATAAAGGTGTATGCGTCTCTCCCTGGTGTTCGTGTTATACATAACATAGTCGTCACTTGACACGTTCATGAAGTACATGCCATAATAATAATAATATATAGAGCTCTAATATATATGAGTTCTCTAAAATAGGGATAGAAAATACAGTTAAACCTTTTAAGATATTTTTTTGTTCAAATTCTTAATATTCAATAAAAAAATAAAAAATGTTTTCGACACTTAAAATTTTATATCAATAAATATGATGGTAAATCAAACAATATATATGAATTTCAAACAACAATAAATCAAAAATACATTTAAAAGATACTCTTGAAAATTAGGATATCGAGTCCATGCATTGTTACGCCCAATTTAATTACAAATATATATACCTGTAAAATCATCGCCGATTTTCTTATAATCACTAGTTGTGTTTGAATACGAAAACCCAACACCAACGGGAGATTCTAAAAACAGAATGTTGGCCTCTGCATCAGCAAAATATATCTATTAACCGTTATATACACAATTAAGAATCTCACCCTGGAAAGTCAAAAAATAATATATATATATATATATAAAGAACAAGAGTCATTCAATTTATTTATTCATTCCATTTTGAGATGAAAAAAGACCATGAACTTTGACTGCTTGACATGTATAAACATATTATAATGATATGATGATAAACTTATATATGTTAACACTATGGTATACCTTTGTTCCATGCATAGGGATTAAACTTAGTACTGTTTCCTTTATTATCAACGAGAAATGGACCAATCTCTTGTGTTGCTCCGTATCCAACGGAAGAACATCCAGGCCCTATACGTAGATAAATACATAAATATATTATAAATAACAGAAAGAAACCAAAAATAATAATCAAAATTAGTCTCCCATTAAACCTAAACATTTAAGAAAAATGTATGTGTAAGATTGACACAGAAATGAAAGTTCAGATAAAAATGTTTCCTTAGAAATCAAAAGTTGAGTCTGGTTACCTCCATTAAGCCATAGTACTAAAGGCTTCTGGTTTGGGAGACTCATAGCCTCGAAAAACCAGTAAAACATAGCTCTCTCATTTGTTGTATCAACCGGGACATAACCGGCGTAATGTCTGAAGCTCACACCAGATTGACCAGGAAAATCCGTAACGAGATCTCGCATTGCTTCTGGGCTATCAGAAGAAACAAACGTGAAAAAAGCGCAAAGACACAAAGCAATCAACACATTGTAAATTTTCATTGTTTGAGAATGACACACTACGGAGTAACAAAGAGACAACAAGAAGCAATGAGGTGGTTGAGACATGAGGCTTGGTTTTTTTTTTTTAATCTATTTATACTGAAAGATTGCGATTGGATTTTTGTTTGCTAATTTGTTTTTTGCTTTTTATTTTTGATATGGAAATAAACAAATTAGGTGAGAATAGTCCTTTGTGGCAATTAATATCGTATCCTGTTAGTCAAAGGTGGATTATTAAAAATATAAATTCTCTGATTTGATATTTTGTGGGAGTTAGATTATATAGAGTTGTTGATGTTAAATTTTAGATATTTTGTTAAATTTAGTTAAGAGTTTTATTAGATTTGAGTTTTTTTGTATATTTAGAAAATCTATCAAAATATTTTAATATGCTGACTTTAGAAATTTAAAGGATGTCCATAGTATTTTAAAATTAAATTTTGTTTTGTGAGTTAAAATGTTAAAAATCCATATCCCATAACACAAAGTATTAATAGGATGATAGAATCATTAAAAACAAATTTATTTAATGATAAATGATATTTATCTGAAATTTAAAAATCTTTAAAATAATGATAATAGATTTTAGTAAGAATATCAGAATACATAAATAAATAATTATAAAATCTTTAAATTTTAATAATTTTTAAATATTCATCTACTTCATCTAATGTTTAAATTTATAGCTAATTTTTAACGATTGTTTTAATGAAATTTTATCTTTTGAAACTTGAATTCTGATGTATTGGAATTTATCAAAACATCGTCATAAATCCTATTTTCAATGATTTGCCTATCGTTATAACCGTCAAGAAATTCATATTACACACAAATAATTACTATATATGATAATTCAAAGAAGTAAAAATTATGGGGAAAACAACCATTCAAAGCTAATTCGTTCTTAGAAAAAAGTCAGAGTTTATAGAATTTTTTTATCACATCAAATCTTAGTATAAAAATTAGTTATCAAAATCAATTTGATTTATATCAAACAGTATATAATCACTTTGATAACCATAAAATGATGAAGGTAAAATTTATAGATTACATATTAGTGTGAAGTACATACAAATTTATGAAAGAAAACAATATAGAGGACTGGAAATATTATATTTCATAACGGTTTTCATCATTTATTCAGTCAATGTTGCAGAGACCTAATCGTATCCATATGGTGCTCTTAACAAAGGCTTACTATTTGTGGTTTGAAGACAATTCTAAAACGATACCAAAAAAAATTCACGCAGTTAAGACGAACTCATTCGTGCAATCGATTTCCAATTGCATGAGCTATCGATGTCCAAAAATTACTAGTCAATTTAAATGAAAACAAAATTGCATAGAGTTTGTTTAGACGACAAGGTTATACAAAGTTACAATGCTTCTTTTTTTTATCAATATATGCTAAAAACAATAATATTAAAGATTTATTTTATTAATTATAATCGTAAATGTGGCTGAGATGAGTTTCGCTGCCAGTGCCGTGAACGAAAAGGTAACATATAAACTTAAAGTGTGTATATATTATGACCATTTTCTTTTTAAAACTTCCCTTCTCTATTGTAAATCTTCATCAATAATGTAAAATTGCTTCTAAATCTGTCGTGACAACGGTGGAGGAACTCCATTGAGAAAGGCGGAGAAAAACGCAAGGGATTCACTGGGTTTGAAGGTAGGCACATCATGTCCTGCTCCTTTGAACGTTGCAAACGTTAGACCTTCGTACTCTTGAAACCATCCACTTACCTAATTGTCATTACAAAAATCAAAATATATCAATTAATCACGTTTACAAACAAATCTTAGTATGTAATGACATCGATTAGTAATTTTTTTTGGAATTTAATAATTGAGTGTAACCTGTTTCTGGTGGTACCATGGCCTCCAAGTTGTCTTGATTGGTAATTCCAGTTTATTTATCCAGTACCTTGTTGAGAGTACGGGAACTCTTCCGTCAGTATCGCCGCTGAATCGCAACCGATAAATCCAATAAATAGGGTTACGTTATTTAGATCTTTATATGCATCATAAGTATACTAAAACTTTCCTTGGAACCAAGAAAATAGATGAAAAACAATTGCTTGTATGGGAAGCAACCAAGTTTAGAATGTATGTTCTAGTCCCATTACTCATATTTTCCTATTGAATTTGAAGTATCATCAAATGTATAAAACTTAAATAATCATTTTTTGAATGTTTTTTTCTGCCGAATATGCAACGAAAAAATTACCTGTAAACCCAAACTCTAAATCCTCCTGCTATGAGTTTCTTATATATAGGCAAAACCGATGTCTTTGAATCAGTCGAGTTCCAGTTACTAAGAATATCAGTGCTGTTCCTCGGAAAACAAGAAAAAAAACAGATGAATTTAGATAAAATCTATCATATTGTAACCGCAAAAAATATTAAAACCAAAAAAAAAAAAAGTAACTAATATATACTTGCAAATGGTCCAGTTCTTGAGATGAACACCATCAGAAGCGTGAAGAGCCTTTTGAACCTCAGCTCTATTGTAGAATACTTTCGCGTAATCATCCAAACACGGGTCAAATCCATCGAAAAGCCTCGGTATCTGTTTTCAGTTTTCAAGGTAATTAAGTTCTCGTCGTTACAATTAGATGAATGTGCTTTATATTATTGCTTTACAATTAGTTTTACCGTCTTGGAACTGGCGTAGGAATCAAGTTTTGATGAGTGGTGGATGCATGTAGGAGTGTAGAGGCTGAATTGATCTATCTCTTTGTATTGTTTGAGAATTTCGTCTACCCCATCTTTGCATTCTTTAACATCCCAAGTAGTGTTACTACTGAAATTGCAACTTCTTTTAATGGATCTATACGTCTCGTCCGATATCACTGCGTGGCTCCATGCATAATCCACCCATCCTGTCCAATCTTCTGCATATGATGTCAATGGATTTCCAAGCTGCGTTCATAAAATATGAAAAATAAAAAGATTAATCAACAATCATGCTTTGCATGGAAAAATCCAACAACGTAAGATTTTTTTTTTTGTTTAGGCTTTATGAGAATCAAACGTACTACTAAAAATGCCTTTTAGCTTCAAATATCAAGTCTAGACTATATCGTAAGATTGGTCGAAAATTGAACATTGTACTATGTATATATTGTCTAATGATATGTGGGCATCAAAATATATTTCAATATATTGATAGATCGATAAAATGTAGGTAGTAAATTTGTGTAGTGCTTAGTACCAAAAAAAAAAAAAAAAATTTGTGGTGCTATGAGAATCAAACACAGTGAAATGTCCTTAATTTCAAATATGAGGTTTAGAATATATAAGGATTGATAGAATGTAGAATGTGTTTAGAATCAAACGTGGTAGTTGGTAATTACCAAAATGCCCTTCAGATTAATGTTAAGTGACAAGTTGCCCTTGGGTTCCTTGTTCTTGTCATAAATAATCTCTGCAAGCTCCGGTACGAACTTTCCTGTCCATTCATAATTGTTTGAATAACTCAGCAAGTTGTAGATGGATCTATATGTATTTAGAAGAAGAAGAACCCTGAATGGCGTATAATAAAATGTTTATTTTATACTAAAATCAAAACCTGCATAGCTCTCTCCTGCGATAAAGAATTTGTTTTCTTTGTAAGCTGGGAATATCTGGAACCACTTTTGGAGAAAAGCGTATGTGTCTCTCGCTGTTGATTGTAAAGAAAAACAATTAATCGACGTCCATAAAAGATCTTATCCTAGTTTATAAGTACATAAAAATAGTAATTTCATATAGATATATTATTGCCTGTAAAGTCATCGCCGAGTTTTCTATAATCACTACTTGTGTTCGAATACGAAAACCCAACACCAGCCGGAGATTCAAGAAACAGAATGTTGGCCTCTGCATCACCAAATTTAACCCGTTTAATCTCGTGTATAATATAAATGGTTTGATTATGATGATGATGACATAATGATGGGAATAATTTAAAAAAAAAAAAAATACTTTAATGTACCTTTGTTCCATGCGTAGGGATTAAACTTAATACTGTTTCCTTTGTTATCCACGAGAAATGGACCAATCTCTTGTGTTGCTCCGTATCCAATAGAAGAACATCCAGGACCTATGTAGTTATAAACAACGAAAAAACAGAAACGTGTTAGATTTGTGAAATTTAACATAAATATGTTTAGCATAAATATGTTTCCTGATAAGTCAAAATGTGAGTTTGATTACCTCCATTAAGCCAGAGTACCAAGGGATTCACGTTCGGTTGAGCCATGGCCTCGAAGAACCAATAAAACAAAGCCCTCCCATTGGTTTCACTGACCGTGATGTAACCGGAGTAATGCCTGAAGCTCACTTTTGGCTGACCAGGAAAGTTTGTCACGAGATCTCTCATTGCTTCTGGACTATCGGAAGAAACAAACGCGAAAAGAATGCAAAGACACAAAGTAATGGACACACTGAGAATGTTCATTGATAAATATTTTGAAGAAGAAGAGTAAAGATGTAGTGAGATAAGATGGAAGGCTTTGATCTCTATATTTATAAGGAAAGATCGTGACTCGATTCTTGTACGTACCAAGGGGAATATTTGTTTTTTTGTTGTTACTTTTAATAAAAAATGAAAATAAATAAATTAGGCTCCGATTACTAATTAGTTTATTGTTTTTTGAAGTAAAAATAAAAATTAAGAATAGTATCCTATGTGACAATTGATGGCTTAATAAACTTTGTTTTATTTTAAAAGGAGGCCTGGATGCAACTATTCATCATGGCTTTCGTTTTGATCATTTAGTCGAATAACTTCATCCGAAACATTTTTTTAAAAGGAATCGACCAAATGTGGTATAGTTTTCTGTTTAATTTTAAATTTTATCTGTTTCATTTTGGTATAATGTTTTCTTATAAATTAGAACAGCAAATAAAATAGCGTAATTAATATTTACTTACAAAATAAACCTAACATAAGTTAGTTAACGCCCATAGAACCATTGTTAGCCAGGGTAGTTGATACAAACTAAAGCCTTCGCACAATTAATCGGAAGCAGGTAATAAGGTGATTGGGACGTAAAACCATCATTGCATTAATGTAATAGCCCATCAACTTCATCGTCAAGAATGTTAAGCAAAAAAAAAAAAAAAAAAAAAAAAAAAATCATAATAAAAGTCTACAACAATTAACAAGAAATAAGTTTAACATCTTCCAGTAATAAGACATTTCGATACTCTATAATTTGTAACTGGATAAAATTAGTCTTATAACTTATATTTTAATTGAATTACACTATGCTTTTAAATTTTTAATTAGTATGATCCATTATCACATAATATTTACGTATTAGGTCAAATTAATCTAAATATTGTCGGGAAAACAAATTAATTGATTAAATGAATCTCTTTGAATATATTGGATTCTTTCTAGAAAACTTATATTCTATGGTCTTTGTGGAGCGGATGAAGAACTTTTCTCTATGATGGGGTTTAATTACTAAATGGCTAAAAGTAATGCAATTTGTTTTCCAGTAGAGTAAATATATTATCATATTAAAACTGTGAAGACAGGAGAATTAATTTGCCCCACAATAGCATAATTAGCATTACTGCATAAAATAAACCTTATATGTATAGAATGTGCGTATTTAAAAAAAAAAAAATGTGCGTAAAATAAACATGTGAATCGTTCTCAAGAATCCTACATGTCCACTTAGTTCAGGTTCATCCAAAATTAATTTGGCGTTTTGTCTTCTTTAAAGCATCTCCAAGAGACATTTCAAATTTGAAGTTTGGAGGTGTTACTCTCCAATAGTAAACTTCAAAAAAAACTTCAAAACTATTTATATTTTGCATTATAGTCTTCAATATTGATAATAATTAATTAACACCATAAAACTTTCATAAATAACTAAAACATACATATAATAAGATTACAATCAATACTAATCAATAAAATACTACATAATAATATAAAAAATATATAATATACACATACTAAATTATAAATTACAAATAAAATATCAAATTATTCAATAAAACTACTTCTATAGTGCTTTCATATATGATTAATCAATGCATTTCAAAGGTACCTGAATATTAGTATTATTGTAGTATTTCAATTTGTGTAATATTTATGTGTTTATGTAATTCATTTTCTTGTATTTTGTATTAAATTTTCTTTATATATAATTATTGTTGTGTAATAAAAATATTTATAATAATATGTAATATTTCTTCTGAATTTATTTTAAGATTTTTATTTAATCTGTATACAAAAATTATATATATATATACATATATATATGAAATACTAAAATTATATAGACTAAAGTGATAAACAACAAAACTAAAATATAAACATTTATATAGTATATAATTAGAGGGATTGAAATGCAAATAAAAAGTGAAACTTCAAATTTGAAGTTTTGAACAATGAGACTTTAAATTTTGAAGTTTTGAAATTTCTCTTGGAGTGCAATAAACTTTATATTTGAAGTTATAAAAAGTCTCTTAGAGATGCTCTTAGTCTTTACTTCCGCGCTTCATCTTAAAAGTCTAATATTTAGGGTTTTCAAGTTTCTTTTCGTCTGTTTCAAATGTGTCAAACTCAAAATGGTGTCCCGGTTGGAAGAATGAATAAAAGGTTGTTATCAAAAAAAAAAAATGTGCGTTTATAAACATGTGAATCGTTGTATATACACACACATGATCAAGTCAGCATACCAACAATTTTTGTTGGTAAGTTATCAACAAACTGTAGTTTGCAGGATACGTAATAAATGAGAGTCAAAGTAAATGGTGTGTTGATAAATTAACACGATGAAAGAGTTATGGTGGTAATAAGTTAAAAAAAGTATAAAAGCGGTTGGTATATAAAAGAAATAAAGGATCGCATGAATAGCACAATTTAACTTATGGTTATAAATCGGTGACTGTGTTTCTCAGGGTTGGAACGGTATAACCTCAGAACTAGCTTCTATATGTATATATATATATATATATTATTTTTTTGGTAGATTTAAAACTAGCAGTTTGATACAATGTTAGCAAATTGACATACGTAAATCATCAAAAACTTATGCGACACAAAAAAAAATCATCATTTTTAGAACATAACAGTATACCATTGAGCTTGGATTCGCAAGAAAAAAAAAATCATCGTAATATAAATTAAGAAAAATAATATGAAACGAACAAAATTCTCACAATTACTAGCTAGCTCTAACGTCATTAAGAGTCATAGCTAGGGTTTATATATGGGATATTCTTACAACACAAGATATGATTAATACATTTCAGAAAAGAAATAGACATGGCACGTTGAAATATCTTTGAACAAGACCGATAGATGACTATAATGAGGTATATTCTAAATTAGTGGTGCCTTTCAATTCATATATTATTTCTGTTCTTCCGAAAAATCAAAATGGTTTAAAATATTCAGATGATTTCGCAAACTACCAAAAGAAAACGAACTTTATGCCATTCGTGGCGAACCCAGTGCGTTTCGATTCTTGATTAAAACTCGATATATTTAGTAATTAAAAATAATTAATTAGGTAGTGATCAAGATTAGAAAAGAGACGTACGACAAAAAAAAAAGAAGAAAATGAGAAGTAGTGCTTTGTTGAATATTATGACATGGAATTCAACTTACTATTTTAAGGAATTAGAGGGAAATTCGCATTGTATCTTCCCTGTAAGGCTGTAACATTTGGTATATATATATATTTATATTTGTATATTGTGGAAAGCTTATCTTCTGTGTAATAGAAAATTAGTTACACACGTGTGATCTTTGAATCATTAAGTTGGATAATACTTTCCGTAGAAGCATTAGGTTGGTGATTAGCCAATAGATCTATACTAATATAGGTGGTTATTCCTTATTATATATACTAGGTATATAACTCGCGCTACGCGCGAGTCTGTATTAATATTTTGGTTTATTTTTTTAGTTATTATCTTTAAAATTATTAAAAATTATATATATTTATAGAAATTTTTATTTATATAAGAGAATTTAATATATAATGTGTAATTTATCTTATTTTTATTTATAAATTTTTAAAAACTATAAGGTAAAATAATAACAATGACACCTATCAAATTATCCAATTTTAACGTATATATACGTTTGATTTAGAGAAATATAATTTTGCTAAGATTTTGGTATTATTTTCTGTTTTCTATAGAATTTCTATAGTTCTTTTTTCTTGAAGGTTTATGTGTTCAAATATTTAGTTTTTTATTGAAAGTCTTATTGATGTTGTGTACCACTGTATATATAATCTATGATTCATATTGATTTACATTTAATTTTGTTAGGAAGCTGTAATGATCATGCACAACCATTTTTTCCTTCTCCATCATGTCTTTCTAGAGTTTTATGTTATATTTTTATTCAGTTTTCATTGTTTTAATTGTTAAATCGAGTTGTTGTAGATTTTTTTTTAATTGATAATTGATAATAGTTACTTTTTTTATACATGTATTGTTAATTGTTAATTTTTTATTAAATTTTAATTTTTTAAACCATATTAACATTTTCTGATTTAATAAATATGTTGATTTGGATCAATCAGATTGAATTTACTTTTTTTGTTAGACATAATTTGTTAAATTAACTTTTAATGTTTTATATATACTTAATAATTTTTGGTTTGATTTAAAAGATGATGTGGACCAATTAAAACAAGTTTTTCCGTCCTAATCATACTTAACATTTTTTATTTAATGAATATGATGATGTGGACTAATAAGATCGAGTTTTTTAATCTGATGTGGATGCCCTCAATGCACTATGCCATCAACTTTTATATATTATACTAGGTATATAACTCGCGTTACGCGCGAGTCTGTATTAATATTTTGGTTTATTTTTTTTAGCTACTATCTTTAAAATTATTAAAAAGTTATATATATTTATAGAATTTTTCATTTATATAAGAGAATTTAATATATAATGTGTAATTTATCCTATTTTTATTTATAAATTTTTAAAAAAACTATTAGGTAAATAATAACAATGACACTTATCGAATTATCCAATTTTGACGTACATATATATTTGATTTAGAGAAATATAATCTTGCTAAGATTTTAGTATTATTTTCTGTTTTCTATAGAATTTATATAGTTCTTTTTTTTGAAAGTTTATGTGTTCAAATATTTAATTTTTTATTAAAAGTCTTATTGATATTGTGTACCACTGTATATCTAATCCATGATTCATGTTAATTCGCATTTAATTTTGTTAGGAAGCTGTAATGATCATACAAAACTATTTTTCTCTTCTCCATCATGTCTTCCAAGAGTTTTATGTTATATTTTTATTCAGTTTTCATTGTTTTAATTGTTAAATCGAGTTGTTGTAGACTTTTTTAAACTGATAATTGATAATGGTTACTTTTTTATACATGTATTGTTAATTACTTAACTTTTAAATTTTTAAACTATATTAACATTTTCTGATTTAATAAATATGTTGATTTGGATCAATCAGACTGAATTTTTTTTTTTTGGACATAATTTTTTAAATTAACTTTTAATGTTTTAATTATACTTAATAATTTTTGGTTTGATTTAAAAGCTCATGTGGACCAATTAAATCAATTTTTTCGTTCTAATCATACTTAACATTTTTTTATTTAATGAATATGCTGATGTAGACCAATCAGATCGAGTTTTTTAATTGCATGTGGACACCCTCGATGCACTATACCATCAACTTTTATATATTACATGATGATGATGATGATGTGGTCTATGTAATGTAATGCGTGAATATAATTCTTTTAACATATGAGAGAGAA